TTCTCTTCTCTTTCTTCTCTCTCTCTCTCCCTCTCCTCTACTTCCTCTCTCTTTCTCTATTTAGTTTTTATCTGATGTCTTCTGTCTATATCTATTTATCTACTTAACTTCTTCCTTCTGTACATACCTCTATCTCACTGTCTCTCTATCTATCCATCTATTTATCTATTTATATTTCTTTCTCTTGTTTTCCCTTTCTCTTTCTTCTCTCTCTTTCTTCTCTCTTCTCTCTCTCTCTCTCTCTCTCTCTCTCTCTCTCTCGCTCTCTCTCTCTCTCTCTCTCTCTCTCTCTTCATTCTCTCTCTCTCTCTCTCTCTCTCTTCTCTATCTCTCTCTCTCTTCTTCTATATATATATATATATATATATATATATATTATATATATATATATATATATATTATATATATATCTGTCTGTCTGTCTCTCCCCCTTTTTTTTTTCTTTTCTCTCTTCTCCACTCCGCTCTTCTTCTCTCTCCTTCTCCCCCTCCCCTCTCTCTTTCTCTCCATAATTATATATTTTTCAACTCTGACAGTTTTCTAAACAACGTGAGGAAGACGCATCCTAGTGATTAATATTCATGAAAGTTTACCTATTTATTTTTCTTTGTCTTTATCTAACATTATCTTGAAGAAGAATATTGATTTGCAACTGTAATTTTTATTTGAGTTAAGACAAATGCCGAATTAGATTCTCTCTCTTCTCTCTTCTTCTCTCTCTCTTTCTTTCTTTTTCTGGTCTCTCTCTCTTTCTTTTTCTGTCTTCTCTCTCTCTCTTTTTCTGCTCTCTTTCTCTCTCTCTCTTTTCTCTCTTTCTTTTTTCTGTCTCTCTTTTCTCTCTGCCTCTCTCTCTCTCTCTCTTTCATTGTATTTTTTATTAAGATGTCTTGTTTATTGTACTTTTTGAGTAAGATTGATTTGTTGTCTATTGCCTTCTTCCATTTTCATTATCTATTGAAATACATTTGTTGTATTTCAGAGTAAGATACATTTGGTGTTGTATTTTTGAGTAGGATGAATCGACCAGGACCAAAAGCTCGTTCCTGGCGGCGGGGTCGGGCGGCGGCGGAGGAGGAAGAGGGCGCCACGTGCGGGCGGACTCCGAAGTAGGACACTTTCGACACAGGTCAGCTGGGCACGGAGGTCGCGCTGAGCTCGCAAAGGTCAGCCGACGGGAGGCGAGTCCAGCTGGCGCTTTGGGGGCGAAGGGAGGCAAGTTGGGGCCGAGAGAATGAGACTTGTGAGGCGGGCAGCGTCGCCAGGAGCTGTTTCCTCCGCGCCTGGCCTCGCACGTCACGTACGGAGCACAGACTCGGCCTCAGCGGAGTGTAAATATTTACCCCTTTGGTCTGACGGCGTCTGGAGGAAGCCTCCGGGCGGCGAGGCGCAGATGGCCGCCCACCGGATCTGCGGTGACTTGCAACAGCTGCATTTAAAATCATTCACGCAATGTTTGCAAGGTCTCAGAAGGCGCACCTCAGCATGTTACTTGCGACCTCAAAGGGACACCACGTGCAGGCCAGGTGGTCGTCAGGGTCCCACGCGGCTTGCTACGACGCGTGCCATTGGTCCCCCGAGACCCCGCCCCCTCGTGACGTCCGTGGGAAAAAGGGCGCTGATTGGCTGCCGGTAGGGCGCCGGGAAACGTTTCTGGGAGGGGGGACGCTTTTCAAAATGTTCGGACCCGTGTCAAGTGGAGCCTTTGGCGCCGTTGGCACGAGGAGACCGCGAATGAGAACGGCGTCACGTCGAAAAGCCTCATCTAAGGCTCGCCATACACGCGTCAGAGAGGGAAAAAAAGCCTCATCCACCCTCACGCCCCCTCACCCTCTCACCCGCGTCACGTCATCCGCATGAATGAAAGCCGAGCGAAAACTTGCGGAGAGGGCGAGTGTGTGTGTGTGTGTAACTTCCACCACAACATCTGTGTACTAGCAGCCCTCCCCGTCGTCATGTGGCACGCCTTGTGTCATAACAGCCTGACACGAGCAGCCGTCCGGACGTGTACAGCGAGCCTCCGCCGATGGTCGTCCACGTGCTGGCCTCTCTCCTCTTCGACGTCGCGGACCGCACGGGAGCTTCAGCCAGTCGTGCTTGGGATCGCGCAGGAGGAGGACGTGCTTTCCCCTTGGTCTCGGCGAGGACCTGACCCTCTGTCTCTGTTCCCGTCGCAGGAATAGCGTCGACTTGCTTTGCGATTTGTTCGCCACGTTTCGCCCTTGGATAAATACTCCGGTTTCGCTCGCCCTCCGCCCGTGTCTTGTGTGCAAAGTGGGAGGATTTGGTCGAGTCTTTGAGACAGCGTTTCGAGGACGACCTGGTGTTTGAGTGAGACAAGGACGAGGTCATTTCCCCTGCAGCGACCCCGCCCTCGAAGCAGCCCTTCGCCATGATGAGCTCCGGCCGAGACGACTTGTGCGGAGGCGCGGGCGGGAGCGGGGGCGGCGCGCCCCACCGCACGCCCCCGAGCGCGGCCGTCGAGGCGGAGATGCGGCTGTACCTGGACAAGCTGCGGGAGATCGTGCCGCACATCCCGCGGAACCGCAAGGTGACGCGGCTCGAGCTCATCCAGCACGTGATCGACTACATCTGCGACCTGCAGCACGCCCTCGAGGACCACCCCGGCCTCAAGGACGAGCACGCCGGGCCCGGCCTCCTCACGCCACCCCACCTTCGTCCACACCAGCTGTCGCCCATGGCGCCGCACCTCATGCCGCCCGCGCCGCCGCTCCACGCCCACCTCGCGGCCAGCCCGCACCACATGCTGCCCAGCCCGCCCACCTCGCGCCCCGCGGAGCACAGCGCCCACCTGCCGCTCCAATTGTGTCGGCTTACTCGGCCGTCAGGCAGCCTACCTGGCTCGGTAGACCTAAATCCACGCCAACACCCCTGCAGCCATGCTACGGTTGATAGTCCGACCGCACGTTAGTCACCGTGTCATCTTTATCTCTGTCTCTCTCTCTCTCTTTTCTCTCGGTCTGTTACTTTATCATGTCTCTCTGTCTCTCTCTCTCTTCTTCTTGTCTCTATTTTCTCTTACTCTGTCTTGTCTTTCTGTCTCTCCGTTCTTCTGGCTCTGTGTCTTTCTTCGTGTCCTTCTGCGGTCTGTTACTGTCTTTTTCTTCTCTCTCTCTCCCTTCTCTTCTTTCTGCTCTCTGGATCTGCATTCTTTCTCTCTCTTCATCTCCCCTTTTCTACTATGTCTATTCTGTTCTCTCTCTGATCTGTATGTCTCTCTCTCTCTCTCTCTCTCTCTCTCTCTTCTTCGTCTCCTCTCTCATTCTCTATACTTATCTCTCTCTCTCTCTCTCTCTGCTCTCTCTTCTCTCTATATCTCTCTCTTCTCCCTCCCATCCCTCCCTCTCTCCTCCCATATTCCCTCTCTCCATCTTCATAAGTATATAACATATGTCCCTCTCTCTCACTTTCTCTATATTAGGTATTTATATTGTTATTGTATCGGCAAGTTATGCTTATTGTGTTATATTAGCTTTTGTCATATTAATTATTGTATATTAATTATTATTAATGTATGATTTTACTGGTATTTGTTTATATAGTTAGTCAGGCTTATTGTGTTTCTCTTGTGGGGTACGGGGGAGGGGTAGTTATTTATAGTGGGTTATGGAATAGGTTGATAGTCTGTGGATGTGTGTGTGCATGCATGTCTGTGTGTGTGTGTATATTATATAAATTATATATGTGTGTGTGTGGTGTGTTAGCCATATATATAAATATATATACGTGATGTGTGTGTGTGATTGTGTGTATGTGTGTAGTGTGTTGATATACACTGTGTTGTGTTATTATTATATACATACTAACTATAATGTGTGTGTTATTATATATAAATACATACTACTATTATATACAATACTGGTGATGTTGTGCAGTGTAGGTATTGGGCGATTATAGAGTGTATGTTATACACTTAGTGTATTTATTACAATACAATCCGTTTGTGATATTCAGTACCATGTTCGCTTACACTAAACTGCTTCCAATTGCAATACGCTTGCACTGTTCAGTATTCTCATAACATCAACGCTAACAGTAGCCTAAACTGTTCCGGACAAAAAACTCGGAACGAGTGTTTATGAGAATGTAACGAAAGCCGAAGTCCTTACGATTTCATGATATATCAATAATAATAATAGAACGATATATATATATTATATTTATATAATAGATATTATTATTATTATATAAACAACAACACACACACACACACAAATACACCACAACTAATAACACCAACACACACACACAACGACAACACACACACAACCACACACCCACACACACACACACAACATACTTATATATTATTAATCTGATAATTTATATATATTATAATAGATTATAATATTATTACATATATATAATAAAATATTAATAGTAATAGTATATATACACAAAACACTACATACAGCGGTAAAGGTCACGTGTTCGCTCGCCCCCATAACGCCACAAGCCGCCCTTCACGCCACAAACCCAGGAGACTTCCAGAGTGCTGAGGTGGCAGAGGCGGGGCAGTGTGGTGGGTACGACGCGGCCTCTCGCACACCAAGCTGGGGGAGATGGGCATGGTCAGGCCAGATGGCTTTGGGTGTGGGGCGGGGAAGGGTGGGGACGTAGTAGGGGGAAGGTGGGTGAGGTTGGGGGGGTGTTTGCAGATTGCATATAGTGTTGTAGTTGATGTACTGTCTAATATATGTCTGTTGTTTGACTGACTGCGTTGTCCCCAAGCGGACTTGTAGTGTCTGTTTTTTATAGTGTGCGCTGTGTGATGTGTGATCGTGATTTGTTTCTGTGAGTGTGTGTGCATAATGTTTAGTGTGTATGGTTTATGTGTGTGTTATCCTCGATGCTTGGTCCGCGACATGTGATTGCATATATGTTGTGTGAATGCAATGTATAGCGTTGCTTGTGATGTGCATCATATATGACGTGTGTGTGCAATATATAGCGTCGCAACATAGTATAGAATTGTGATGTGTTGCAATATGAATATGCGATTGTGTGTCTGCGTAGTGATGGCTATATGTCGATGTTGTTTGTATGGTTCTTTGTTATTTATATGTTAAAAAAAAACTATTCCTGATGTACACCACCTGAGAGAGGCCGTTTCGTCGGCGCGTGTTCCCTTTTTTGCCGGTCTGTGTCTCGTCACGTCGCGAACTTTGTTTACAAACATATCCTCGTGATGGCAAGATTGCATCACCTTGCTTGGCTTCCCCTTCCTTCCTTCCTCCGGCTCTCTCTCGCTCTCTCACGGACGCCTCTCTCTCTCTCTCTCTCTCTGTTTCTGTCTCTCTCTGTCTCCGGCTCTCTCGCTCTCACGGACGCCTCTCTTTCTCTCTCTCTCTCTGTTTTTGTCTCTTTTTCTCATGGACACCTCTCTCTCTTGTCTCTCTGTTTCTGTCCTCTCTCTCTCTGACACTCCTCTCTTCTCTCTCTCTCTGTCCTGCCTCTCTCTCGTCTTTCTCTCTCTCTCTCTCTCTTCTCTCTCTCTCTCTCTCTCTCTCTTCTCTCTCTCGTCTCTCTCTCTCTCCTCTCTCTCTCTCTCTCTCTCTCTCTCTCTCTCTCTCTCTCCCTCTCTCTCTCTCTCTCTCTCCTCTCTCCCTCTCCTCCCTCCCTCCCTCCTCTCTCCTCCCTCCTCTCCTCTCTCCTCTCTCCTTCAAACGTGTTTTTATTCTAAATATGGCCTTCGAATGCAACATAAGCGAGACACCGAAAGCTAAATTATCGTACATCACGGGAGAAATTGTGCTTCTGTCGGTCACTCAAGACACATGTTGTTGTACATCATCGTTTACCTGTTTGTCCGTCTGTCTGTCTTTTTGTCTGCCCGGCTGTTGTGTCTGTCTTTCTCTCTCTCTCTCTGTCTGTCCATCTATCCTTGGCTTTTTACCCTTTCTTTTTCCTCTCTCATTCTCTCCTTTTTTCCTATCTCTCTTCTTCTCAACTCTCCCTCCCTCTTTTCCTCCCTTCCATCTTTCTCTTTTTTCCCTCCCCTCCCTCCTTCCACACCTCTTTCCCTCCCTTCGTCCTTCTCTTTCTACCATCCTCTCTCCTATCCCTCCCTCCTTCTCTTTTTCCATCCCTCTCTCCTTCCTTCCACTCCTCTTTCCCTCCCTCTGCCCGTCTATTTCTCCCTCCCTCCCTCTATTTCTCCCTTCCACCCTCCTTCCATCCCTCCTCCTCTCTCTCCTTCCTTCCATCCCTTCCTCCCTCTTCTATCCATCCCTCCCTCCTCCCCCTCATCCGCCCCCATCCACCCATCCATCCATCAATCATCCATCTATCTTTGCGAACCGCGGCCTCGCTCGCCCCTCACAAGATGCGCGAGGACAACAGCTGTTCATCGTCGACAGCAAGCAGGAGGAGACAGCAGGAGGAGGAGACAGCAGCAGGAGGAGGAGGAGACAGCAGGAGGAGGACACAGCTGTTCATCGTCGACACAGCAGCAGCAGGAGGAGACAGCAGGAGACAGGCGACTAGCGCGGGGTTTCACAGCCCCACAGATGGCGCCGCGTTCAGGGAAGGAGGAGGAGGGAGGGTGAGGGAGGAAGGGAGGAAGGAGGGAGGGGTCAGCGGAGAGTGGGGGGAGGAGGTGGGGTGGGTCGTGGGTAGGGGGAGGGAGGGGGGGAGGGGGAGGGAGGAACGCGGAGTTAGGTCGACAGGTGGCAGCTGGTGGCTCGGTGAGGGAGGGGAGGGAGGGAGGGAGGGAGGGAGGTGGAGGGGATGGCGCCATCACGTGTGTCAGTGTAGAAGGGAGAAGGAAGAGAATAGAGGAGAGAAGGAGGAAGGAGGAGGAGGAGGGGAGGAGCGAAGTAGAAAAAGAGGAGAGAGGAGGAGAGAAGGAAAGGAGGAGGAGAGGAGAGGAGGGAGGAGGAGGAGGAAGGTAGAAAAGAGGAGAGAGGAGGAGAGAAGGAGGAAGGAGGAGAGGAGAGGGAGGGAGGAGGAGGAGGAGGTAGAAAGAGGAGAGAGGAGGAGAGAAGGGAGAAGGAGGATAGGAGAGGGAGGAGGAGGAGGAAGTAGAAGGAGGAAGAAGGGAGGAGGAGGATAGGAGAGAGGAGGAGGAGGGAAATAGAAAAGAGGATAGAATGGAGGAAGAGGAGGGAGGAGGAGGAGGAGGAGGGACTAGAAAAGAGGAGAGAAAGGGAGGGAGGGAAGTTGGAGGAGGGAGGGAAGTTGGAGGAGGGAGGGAGGGAGAGGAGCACCACATGGCCAAATGGAGGGGAGAGGGAGGGGGGTCGGGGGGAGAGAGGGGGGTGACCGTCTGTCCGTAGATATCACACACACGTTCTAAATGTGGTCACGCCAACGCGGATGTGTTCGTGTGCACATACATGTATACATAATGAAAGCATTTATCCTTTTGTGCACATAGAGGGAGGCAACTGTATCATTGCAACTATTACATTCACTATTTATCTATTATTGTCTACTATTATATAACTATTATTATCTATCTATTATTATCTCTACTATCTAATTATTAATATTAATTATTATCTATTTATTATTATCTATCTATCTATCTATTATTATATCTACTATTATTATCTATCTATCTATTATTATTATATCTACTATTTTTATCTATCTATTATTATCTCTATTATCTATCTATTATTAATCTATTTATTATTACTATTATTATCTATTATTATTATCTTAAATTATTTATAATTATTATTATTATATCTAACTATATTATTTATTATACTATTATATATATCTACTATTATTAATACTATCTATTATATTACTATTATTTATCTAACTATTACATTATCTATCTATTATTATCTATATATTATTATCTATTATTATCTTCATTTATTTGCGTTTTAGAAATACTTTCAGGAAACGACATATAAACAACATATAAAATAATGATTACGATGATGGTGATTAGGATGATGATAGTAATGGTAATGATGGTAATTATAATCACAGTGATATGAGGATAATTATGAGATTACTGGATTACTGAATAAAACGATGATAATGATGATATACACCATGAAAATGAGAAACCATCGATCCAATCACGCAATGATAATATGATCGATAGATAGAATAATGATATTATAGATGATAATGATAAAAGTAAATTAAATTGATACTATTTCTTATCGATTTATTGTAGATATTAATATATATATCAGATTATATTTTATTATATAGTGATGATAGTGAATAATAATAATAATAACATGTTGATGATAATAAATCAATGATAACTAAGAAGATGATAATGATAAATGAAACGAAGATCCGAAAAGAATTCAAGATAATTAAGGGGCGATAAAGTTGATATATATAATTATAATGAATAATTAAGATTCTCGAATTAGGTTGATATTAATACAATAATGATGAAAAAAAATTTAAGATACATAACAATACATAAATAACGATGATTAATTCAATATCAATTTAATATTTATAAATGATTATAATANCCTCGGGGCGACCTGCATCTCCCTCTCGAGCAATCCCTGCGAATTCGCCCCTTTGCCCAAGGCCGGGGATTCATACAAGCAAGCAAGCAGCCCCCCCCCCAGAGAGAGCCGCCGCATTTCTTGGGGTCTTACATCTGCCTTCAGTAAAAACCCACGAGCTAGGGGCCTTTTCAGTTACCTGCACTAAGGCCACCCTCTCTCGTTCACATCTGATGGCAAGCGGTGGTCTTGCGTTCACATCTGATTGCAGTGGTGCTCCCAATCTCTACATTCACACCCATATATATATATATATATATATATATATATATATATATATATATATATATATATATATATATATATATGTGTGTGTGTGTGTGTGTGTGTGTGTGTGTGTGTACATACACACACACACAACACATATATGTATATATGTATATAGATAGATAGATGTAGATATAGTCTGTATTTATAAGCATATATTGATGCATGATTGCACACATAAACACGCACACAGCCACATGTGTATATCCCGTTAATAACTCGTTCCATCCTTACCTTGAACACAGTGGAAGGCAAACCGTCAAAACAATGATAGTTGTTCAGTCTTTTTACTTGTCTGTTCAGTTCTTTGTTCAGTTGTTCATGAATTCATTTGTTTACTTGCTCATCTGTTTATTTTGCACACGTGTTGATTCTCTTCATTTGTTTACTTTTTTATTTTTGCTTTTCTGTTGTTTTTTCGATATTTGTTTGTTCCCCGTTTTCTTTTACTTGTTCACTTGTTTGTTTGTTCTCGTGTTGGCTTGTTCACGTGTTCACTGCTGATTCGAAGGCCCATAAATAAATAAAAAAAAACTGATGTGTTCTTCTTTCTGCCCTTGTTCTGAAAATGAAGAAGGATAAACAGAAGAGAGAAAGGAATAATTTAAAGAAATGAAATGTGGATAAAAGGTTTCTTTTCTTTCTTCTTCCTCTTCTCCCGCTTTCTATTCGCTGCTAATTTAACTATTTATTTTTACTCGTTTTATTCCTTTTATACTTCTTTTCTTCTTTCTGTTTTAGTTCAGTTCCGTTTTTTCTTTGTATTTTTCTACTTCTTCCTCTGATCATATCCCCTTTTCCCATGCGTTTTCCCCTCCTCTTTTTC